TGTTGACAGATATGTATTTATCACTTTGTTGTTCATAATTTTTTTATCTTTACCTTTTTCTTCTTCCTCTTCTTAAAGAATACCTGACAACATTTCATATAATACTGATTTGGTGGTGATGAACTCCTTTAGCTTTTTCTTATCTGTGAAGCTCTTTATCTGATCTTAAATTCTAAATTATAGCTTTGCTGGGTAATCTTGGTTTTAGGTTCTTGCTATTCATCATTTTGAATATTTATTGCCATTCCCTTCTGGCCTGCATAGTTTCTGTTGAGAAATCAGCTGATAGTTGTATGGGTACTCCCTTGTATGTAACTATTTTTCTCTTGCTGCTTTTAAGATTCTCTTTTTGTCTTTTTCCCTTGGCATTTTAATTATGATGTGTCTTGTTGTGGTCCTCTTTGGATTCCTCTTGTTTGGGGTTCTCGGCACTTCCTGGACTTTCACCAGGTAGGGGATGTTTTCTGGCATTATTTCTTCAAATAAGTTTTCAGTATCTTGCTCTCCCTCTTCTTCTCATACCCACATAATTCAGATATTGGTACACCTGAAGTTGTCCCAGAGGCTCCTTACACTATCTTCATATTTTTAAATTCTTTTTCCTTTCTGCTCTTCCGGTTGTGTGTTTTTTGCTTCCTCATATTTCAAATCTTTGACTTGGTTCTTAGGATTCTCTAGTCTACTGTTGAATCTGTATATTCTTTATTTCAGTCAGTGTATGCTTAATTTTTAACTGGTCCTTTTCTTTCTTTTTTTTCTTTCTTTTTTTCTTTCTTTCTTTCTTTCTTTTTTTTTTTTTTTTTTTTTTCATTTTCAATAAAATCCTTGAAGGTCTAAGTTCCTTGGAGCTTTCTAGAAAATTCTTGAGTTACTTTATAATTTTGAACTCTATATCCAGTATTTTGCTTTCTTCCATTTCTTCATTTGTGATATGTTTCTTTGTCTTTACATTCTGGCTGCTTCCTTGTGTCTGTTTCTATGCACTGGGTAGCTGCCTAGTCTCCTTGAGTTGATAGAGTGGCCTTATGTTGTAGGTGTCCTTTAAGGCCCAGTGGATCAGCCTCCCCAGTCACCTGAGGTGGACACTCTTGGTTCACCCCTTTGTGGGTTGTGTGTACAGCCTTGTTGTAATAGTTAAGTCTTGATTGCTGTTGGTATAACTGGGAGGAATTGACCTCCAGGCCAATTGGCTATGAGGATCAGCTGTGTCTACAGTGGAAGAGCTGCTGTGCAGGAGAAACCCTTATGGGGCAGGACTTGCTTCAGTGGGGCTTTCGTGCTCACTGAGTCTGCCCCTTGAGTGGTGTCACTTATGGATATAAAGAGTTGTATATGGTATGGTCTCACACTGACCACAGGCTACATTGACTCTTAGATCTCCAAGGAGATGCAGTCAGCCACTACTTAGGGCCATCCAGCAGGAGCTATAGAAGGATCTGCAAATTTCTCCTCTTTGTATCATGTTTGAAATTATCCAGATGAGGCCCAACTGTGAAGCAAGGTAGGCTGCTGCTGGTGCCAGCCTTGGGCCTTCTTTTGATAGCTTTGAGGCTCCATGACCCAGCTGCAGCTTGTTTGACAAGTTTTAGGCTGAGAAAGGGAAGGCCATTCATATGCAAAAGTTGCTGTGCACAGCTTGGGTGGGTTGTAAATTGGGTGGGAAGGGGTCTCAGGGAATCTCCAGGGTGAAACAAACAGCAATAGCTGCCAGTCAGCCCTGCACCAGCGAGCACTCTGTCTGAAAGAAAACTGCCCCTGTGTTCCTTCCCAGATGCCAAACAGTCCAGTTTCTTTCTGTATGTGTCTGGGTCCCCGAGAGTCTCGCCCGGCATTGGAATTCAGAGCAAGTGGGAGCTTTTATCTCCCTCCCGATTAAAAAAGTGGCATACCCAGGTGCCACCCTATTTCGTGCCTCTGCACCTCCTACCAGTCTCAATGTGCTTTCTTCTTTACCTCTCTAGTTGTAGTGCTTCCACTCAGCTAACTTCCCCAGTTATGGATGATAGTTCTGTATTTTAGTTGTAATTTTGATGAGGTTGTGGGAGGCAGAAAGGACAAGAGTTATCTATGCTGCCATTTTCAAGCTGAACCTTTATTAAGATTTTAAAATTGATTTTTTTAGAGAGGGTGAGGGAGAGAAACACTGATCAGCTACCTCCTGCATGCCCTCTACTGGGGATACAGCCATCAAATTGGGCATGTGCTCTGTGGGGTACTAAACCAGCAAACTTTTCCTGCAAAGGATGTTGACTAACTAAGCCACACCAGCAGGGTGATAGTTTCATTTTTAAGATCTCATTGGAAAATGCAGGAACATACACACACAACACATAAGGACTGCTTTAAAAAGGATTTTTAAAAACAACTGTCAGGACAGATGTACACACCTTGTACACACACACACAGATGTATACACTTTATGTATGTATTTTAATAAACATCACATTTAATTAATTATTCAAAGTGTGTATATACATTTTTTAAGAACTATATATATATTTAGAAAACATTTCACTAAAACTAGTTAATAGGAATTTTTATGTTGTACATATATTAAAAGGAGACTAATTTTCAAACTTTCAGAGTTTATTTATTTACAAAGAAAAACATACAAAATGATTCTAATAAACAAAGCACGCTATTCCTACTTAAAAAAAAATAATATATATATATATATATATATATATATATATATATTTTTTTTTTTTTTTTTTTAAATGATTTCAGAGAGGGAGAGGGAGAGACAGACAGAAACATGATGAGAATCACTGACTGAGTCCACAATCTGGGCATGTGCCCTGACCAAGAATTGAACTGGTTCGTAAGTCAACACCCAACCACTGAACCACACTGGCCGGGTCCAATTCCTACTTTTGTAGTGGAGGGAAAAAAGGAAAATGTATACGATACACAATTGTCATGGCCTGTATTGATTAATTTTACAAATTAAATTGACAAAAACTATAAAAAATCTAAACTTTAGAATGTCAAGAGACATGTATGTCTACATTTATATAAATTTAGTCTATAACCATATAATTTTTTTTGTACCCTTTCCTAGTACATTTGACTTTCATCACCCCCTTGCTGCCCCATCTCTAGTGTTGTGGAGCACCTGTGCCCTAGTCCTTTGCCCCCCTCCCCCCCCATACATGTGCTAATCCACTGAGATGTACCTAAAAACACAGATTCCAAGAAGGAATGGGTACCTGACACATGGCTTCAACTTCTACTAAGGAGAGGGGGCCTGTATGTGTTCCTAGCCTCCATTCACTCCTTTACTTGTATTCCCACTAGGCCTGCTTTGCATCCTTAAGGAGATTCACAGAAAAGAGAGAGGCAGACTCTTTGTGCCACAAGATGACTGGAACCAGCAAATAAGTCTGGGCATTTCTCCATCCCTGTGGTGCTGAGAGAACACAGGCAGGTTGGGCAAGGTAGGGCACTAAATCCACAGCCCAGGTGGAAGGAGCTGAGGTGGGGAAGCATTGGGAGCAACTGGGTGGTTGCTGTGGTCAGCAGTTCAAGGTCTAATGATCTTCTGATAAATGCCCTCATGATCATTGGGCCCAACAGCACATCCCAGCATTAAAGGTCTTGACCGAGCCACCCCACAGGATTCTTGGGTAATGTGCATAAGGGCTCCCCTGGTGGGTGCACATGGTGTTCCTCTAGGCCAGAGCCCTAGGCATGGCTACTCTGCTGTGTGAAAACCCCATCCCCAAAAGGGTTCTGCAGGTAAAAGGTGTCTATCCTGTCCTTACAGAAACAGTACAAAAAGATAGGGCTGGTGTACCTTCAACCAGGTCCCCAAAGAAAAATGATTGAGGGACGGAAGGATGCTGTTTAAGGGCCAAATCTTACTCAAATCCCTTCTCAGTCTTGCCTTCCCCAAACTTCTGAGTTCATCAGACTGGAAGCTTTCTTAAAGAAATTCCTGGGAACCTTTCAGGACCAGGAACAAGACCAGGTAAAAGAATGTCAGTAATTGTAAAAAAATAAATAAATTTTAAAAAAAATCCTTATCTAAAACTGTTGCTGTGCACTATTTCCCTTACCTCTGGGCTGCACTGTCACCTCTGAACATGAACCACCCCCCCACCCCCCACCCCCCGCCCAGGGGACAGAGTGGGTCCACCATAAGCCACTTCCTCCTACAGAAAACTGGTTACTTGTTCAAAGACTCTCTTCCAGAGTAATATGCCCACCTCCTGGACCCCAGAGGCTTTCTTCTCCTGGTCGCAGCTGTGCCATAAATTCTATAAAACTATGTAACTGGGCTGAAAATGAGTGGGAAGATGGAAGATGTTGGCTTTTGGGGGCCTCTTGGGATCAAGTCCTTCATATTCAATACCTATCACAGTATGTGTTCTATAACATTTAAATAATGGTGCATAAAATTGAAGTAACAAGAAGCTCAAAGCAGAAGAAAAGTTTTAGGAGAGAGAAGTATGTGAGCATGCATAGGGCAGGGTTATTCTGTGGCCACGTTGGGTCTGGAGCCCTCACTACTGCCAGAATTTCTTTGAACCCCTATATGTCTTTATATACAGAAACCTTGGAGGTCTAAGTGACCTCCCCATCTGGAGGGAAGTATCTAGAGGATGGGGTATGTATCTGGACTATGTGTGAGTGTAGAGAGGCATGATAGCCCAAAGGCTATGGGTTTCATTCTCAGTCTTCAACTTACAAGATCCCTCCAGGGGCAGATACTGAGCCCAAGCTGGCTGGGCCCTACCACTTAGGAGCAGACTCCAGTCCTGGCAGCTCCCCTCCCCCAAGGACCGCTCACATTTTTTTTTTACACAGATAATCCATGTTCACGGTTGAAAAAATGTCACCATCACTTTTTATTGAAAGCCAGCACAGCACCAACCCTGTTCTGTCCAGGCAGTGGCACGTGGGCACGGGGCTCCAACCCCCGTCCAGGAAACAGTGGGAGCCTGGCCCCACCATCACTCTTCAGGGCCAGCACCCTCCACAGTGCCTCGGTTGCTCACTCAGGTTTGTTCAAACTCCTGTTCACAGTAGCCTACACTGAGGGGCTGGGCTTGAACACCTCGTCTGCAAGAGGACATGTAGAAACAGGATGAGATGAGCCATTCAGAAGGGGATCAGTCTTAGGCCCCCAAAACACCTCACCACAATAAAGTATTCCTTTCCTACATTTCAGTGTATCACAAACTGTCACTATTTACCAGTATTGGATTCTCACCTCCAGAGATTCTTACTTGGGGTGAGGCCAAGGGTTGGCAAGAATCTGCATTCTGAACAGGTGTTCCAGATGATTCTGATACAGGGATACCCAGGAACTTTGGGGAGCACCTCCATATTTCTTTTAAATTTTATTATTTCCCAAATAATTAGAGACCATTTTATTACTCTGTGAATATTAATAGTCCTAGTCAAACATTTCATTTTCAACAATCCGTTCTATCTGTAGAATCTAAAATATAAACATGCTTTTGCTGTATTAACAATGTGAACTAATACGCACTCTGCCATATTCTATAAGATACTATTGATTTTCAAAGGGATGTGAATAAATATTAATTTTGTAGTAAAGTTTTGTTAGGTACTGAGCTTTTTTTATTAAAAAATTTTAATGTTGACATAATTACAGGTGTCCCCATTCCTCCCCCTTTGCCCACCTCCACCCACCCTTAAGTCACCCTCCTTTGGGGAATGCCTATTTCTTCTGAAGTTTATTTTATTTAAATTTTTCTATTGATTGATTGATTTTAGAGAGAAACACTGACTTGTTGTTCTACTTATTTATGTATTCACAGGTTGATTATTATATGTGCCCTGACCAGGGATTGAACCCACAACCTTGGAGTACCGGGACGATGCTCTAACCAACTGAGCTACCTGGCCAGGGCGACACCTCCATATTTCTGACCTGTCTTGGTACTCCAGTCCTTAATACTCAGTTCCTTTAGAAAAAAAATAGATGCTTGAAGGGTATGCAGTACTCCTGGCCCACTGAGCCTCCCTTTAAGGGTTCTAAATACTGTGAATGTGGTGGAGGTAAGGGACTGAGATGCTACCCAATCTATACAGACATAAAAAATCTGTCCTTAGTTCTCAGCCTCACCTCTAGGCATGACTTCTTCATTATCCAAATAAGCAATACACTTAGAGATGGTAGGGAACTAGCTCAGAGTCACCCAGTAAATTACAGACAGTTGAGATGCTTGGCTCTCAGCCTGGGGCTCTGCTCGGCACTAGGCTGTACCCTTTAGGTCCTCAACACCTAGTCAATAAATCAATCATCTTATATAGTCTTATCCTCAACAGGGGCAAAGGAGTCATGAGAGCCCAGTAAAGCATAGTTTAGTCTCTAAAGTTGGCCTGGTTCAAATCCTGATTCTAAACGACTTTGGGCAAGTTCCTTAACCTTTCTGTGCCTCAGATACCTATTTCTAAAATCAGGATAAAACTATGTCTGTTATATGGAGTTGTGGTGAAGCCTCAACAAAATAATTCCTGTAAAGGTTAAGCAGAGTTTTTACCACCAGTTAGCCTCTACCAGTATAAGTGTTAGCAATTATTGTGTTCTTTTGTGTTCTTTTCCTGTCAGTAAGGGGTCCTATAGCCTGCTTACCTCAGCAGCTCACAGCGGAAGTGTGCCAAACGTTTAAAGGCAAAGTCCGGGTCAGTCACTACCTTGTTGCTCCACAGCCTTTCAGCAACAGCCCCTGCTCTGGGCCTGGAGGAAAGGGGATATGCACCAGGTTTCCCTATATTCCCTGAAAGGAGGTGGGACACTCACAGGCTATTGCTCTTGTTTAGGCTCAGGGCCAAGGGATATGACCAACACCTCTTCAGAGTGACAACCTGGCTGAAGGGCCGCCAGGGACCTCAAGGTTCAGCTCTATCTTCATTAAATGTGATAAGTGATCCCACTCTTCTCTCCCACAGACAGGAGAACCAGCGCAAGTCTTAAAGGCATCATGTTACTGACAGTAGCGGCAGTGGCAGGCATTGTTAGAATATCAATTCCATATCCTCCCCGGCTTGGTAAGGCTATTGAAGCAGTCTAGGAAAGTCTTGCTACAGGAATCATGAATTCCCGTGCTGGATCCTGAGCAAATCATCTGTGCTCACCAGGCCTCAGTATCTCTTTCTGTTCTACATATTGATACCTAACAGGTGTTGGAAAAGCATAGGTGGAAGTCAGGTGAGAGATGGATATTACTACAAACAGAAGGATCACTGCAATGCCCTTCTCTCAGGCCTGAAAGAAGGATACTAGTCTGGGGTGGCTAGACAGGATTGAATCTGTATGGGAGACCCTATATTCACAATCCCAACTTCCATGTCCTCAGAAAACCCTTACCAGAGCCTGGGAACCAGGTTTGTGCTGTCCACATACTCTCCCCACATACAGGCCTCTCCACCAATCACCAGAGCCTTCTGCTCTGGACCACCTATGGGAAAAACAAGCAACAACAGATAACTCTGTTTCCCTTTAACCACCTTCTCCTCAGATAGGTTGTTTCATCTCCTAACCTCAAATACCCAGCCCAGACCCTTCTGCCTTCCACCCTATGCCAAAGCCCAGCCTCCTTTGGTCAGTTAGGAGAGTACCCTGCTTTCACCTTCAAATGACAGGGGATCCACCCTGTAAAAGTCCTCCCAGTCAGGACCATAACTTATGCGGTTCAGGTACCAAGGGGCAGAAAGCAGAGCCCGGAACCCGGCTTTGGTGATCAGTGCCAGCTCCTTCAAATAGTTTACTGGTACTTCTTCTCGCCATACCTGGATGATTGTGTCTGGCAAAACCTGTCACAAAGGTCAAAGGATGGAAATGGTATGAAGCTGAGGAGATTCCTGGGCCACATTGTTATACAGGCAACCAGGCCAAGGGGTGTGTACTCCCTCTGCTTTCCAGCAGCAAAGTACTTCTCTGTGACTCTGAACCACTGAGCTCCTAGCCCAGTGCAGAGGTCAAGGATTCCATAGGCCATAGGAGAACTCCCTGTTGCTTCGTCCCCCTGTGTTTTTCTACACTGAGATAGTAATACTAGCTGTGACCTAAGGAAGGCAAGCAGTGAGGTCCAGCAGACTCATTGGAAGCTACCAGGTCCAAGTCTCTAGATATTTCTGGGGAGCCCTGGCATGTGGAAGGAGGTTGGAATCTCATTGATCAATAATGAAGGAGAGGGAAACCCTGCTTTTGCAGTTCTATAAGACCTTAGTCTATGACTCAGTAAGAAAAACCCAACCCATTAAGCCAGTCTTGGGAATCCAAGTTACCTAGCAGCAGAAATAATTCTTAATCAATCTGTAGTGAGGGAAGCTTGAGAGGCTCCAAAACCCACACCCAGATCTCTGCAACTGTTCTAGAGGGGAAAGAAGAGATGGCTCCTAGTATTCTGAACATTAAAGCCTACTCTAAATCAGGAGGACCAGGTTATGCAGGGAAGGGCTGGGAGACCAGGGAAAGGCGCTGAAGGTGGTTCATTCTCCCCCTGCCCCTGGCTCACCTTTACTTTATTATCAAACACCTCCTGCCACACCACGTAGCCCTTGCCATAGGCAGAGACGATGTCAAGAAGCCTGAAGAGTAAAGAAAGTGTCTGCTCAGCTCAGATAGGCTCTAGGCTATTGGTGCCAGTGACCTGGGGGTTGAGCCTGGCTAGGGGACCATTCCTGATTAAACAGTATCTTCCCCAGTTTGGAAATGACCACGCTAAGACAAGAGATTCTTTTCAGAGGCTCAGAGAATTTGTCAAGAAGGACCTGGCCCTGGTATGGTCATCCATATGAGGTTACCCAAGAGACCCTGCCCGCCCTCCTTCCTTCCTCACGTCTGGATGTAGAAGGACTCCAGCTGTTTGAAGTCATTACCAAAGCCTTTCTTCTTCATAAAGGCCTGGACATCTGGGTTAGACTTCCTAAATCCCAAGAAAAAATGAAGATTAATTCTTTCACCATCTTAAAAGCCTTCCAAAGCTTGGAGATTAGTCACCTGGTTTCCCACAACTCCCTTTATACCCAAAATAATAATCAAATGAGGATCTCAGAGACCCCAAATATGGAAGGTATGGCTGAACAAAGCTGTATGAAGGGGGCCATTGATATAGGCTGAGAAAGTTTGAGCCTGGACCTGACAGCTTTTAGTTCAAACTCTCTAAGACAACATATATTGATCTCTCTGGACTGTTGGCATGTAGCTCTGAAGTCTTGACCTGGGGCTCTGGCACACTGGATTCTGGCTTCCCTCCCTAACCCTCAACCTGGGCATATTTTGTTTTTCCCTTACTATTTATTCTCTATTCCAGTTGGATATAAGTGTTGCTGCCACTCCTTTGCCCCACAATGTCTGTATTTTGCTCACATTTTTTCCTCTTCCATGTCTTGAAAAAACCAAACTACTTCTCCAGATCCAGCTCTAGTGCCCACTTCTCAGAGAAGCCCTTCAACCTCTTTTGAACTAAGTAGATCTGAGGATTTGGAATTTACAACTTAACACTGTCATCTATTAGTCTCAAATTCATCCATGTTTTGCCTCTTCAACCAGACTACTTTAAACCTTCAAAGGCATAAATTATTTTTCCTTATCCTGGATTTTAACAAAAACAATTCTGTGCCTAGAGCTAGTTTTCCCATAAATATCTCAAGGATATGACAAAGGAAGGGAGAGTTTCACATTCACAGCCTTGCCAAAACCAGGCAAGGCCCCTCTGTAGCTGGAGAGGGGAAAGGCCCACGACCTGGGCCATCTAGATTGAGAAAGAATACTGTCTCAGAGGTTAGTCCCTGAGCAGTACCCGAGACAGGCAGCCTGTCAGGGCCTAATCTCTATACTGAGCAAGTAATTCATCAGGCTGAGAGGGAAATATCAAAGGGCTCATACCAGCAGGCGAAATCAACCTCATCTCCTCCAAGGTGAAGATAAAAATCCGGGAAGACAGAGTTGATCTCCAAGAAGAATGTGTTCATGAACTCATAGGTACTGTTGAGAATGGGATTCACTGGTCCAAAGGTACCGGAGGGCTGAGACCCAGAGTAGCAAGGAGTCAATAATCCTGAGACACCTAAGCCAGTGGAGAACCCGACACAAGTATCACAAATACATAGACCCCCATGCCCAGCCATATATATATATATATATATATATATATATATATATATGGACATTAAGTCACACTAAGTATAATAAACATTATACTCACAGAGGTAGAAACACTCAGGGACACAAAGACACTGGTAATCTTTAGTGTTTAGTCACAATCAAAGAAATACATCTACATCCACAATCACAGACAAAGGGTAGTCAAACTGCCAGCACACACATTCTTGCCTTGACACATTGCTTCCAGCAGGGGTCACCCTCACTCTTAATGGCAGCTCTCAAACTGCCTTTAGGAAAAGCAGAGAGCCAATTCAGCCAAATTGGCAAAATCTTTCCTCCCACTCTAGAGCAGATAACCTACAAGGGATTCATTAAGATAAGGACACCTGAGAAGAACTTGCACATATTTTAATAGTAAGAAGTGGTCTCTTTCGCCCAAAGTAAGTTCTATCTAATTCCCAGGTGGAAGAGGTTGACAGAGAGCGTTCTTCTAGGAGAAAGTATGGCGCATCCAAGCAATAATACCTTAAAGCCCCAAGGAGGATTTCCTTCAACCCGACATCATTTTTACCTCGTCCCCAGGAAAGAGTGTGGCCAGGAGTGTCAAATTCTGCCAATACACGGATCCCCCGAAGCCGTGCATATTCAATCACTTCCTTCACATCCTGTGCTGTATAGATGTGGGTGGCAGGGTTATAGGACCCCTGAAAGGCACAAAATATCCTTAAGGATCTTATTTCCTGAAGGCTTATTTATATATTAGTGGATACTAACAATGCCTCCAGGACTCTCTGGATATCAGAAAATTTACCCACAGCCCTTTGGTATCAGGGACTATCTTTAAAGAACTTATTCATAACTTCCTACAAGTTATCACATATATTGCTTTATTTGTGTACCACACCAGTGGAGCGAGAATGGGATTCCCTGGTCCAAAGGTACCAGAGGGCTGGTGGAATGAACAAGGTAGGTATTATGCCAAGCTGACAGAATATAAACAAACTAACAAACAAAAAATGAGACCAGAAGAGGTTATCTCCTGAAGGTTACAAAGCAAATTAATGGCACAGCTTGGACTCGAACTCAGGTCTCCGGATTTTAAATCCAGTGCCCTTCCCATGTCAGTGTGTCCCTAAAACTGGCTCAGTAGAAGGAGAGCTAGTGTCCTTGCCATCAGCTCCACAGCTAGGTTCAAACATCATCCCATAAACTTGGTCAGGGTAAAATCAAGACAGACCTTTCTGGTGAGCTCTGGAAAAGTGAAGCTCTCGTAAGGAAAGGAAGAGTCGTCAACCAGATGCCAGTGGAACACATTGAATTTGTTGTATGCCATGCCATCCTGTAAATTAGAGCATGCACTGTGAACTCACCAGATTTTTCCAAATTCAGCCTCTAGCCTGGGAAGCTGGACAGACTTTTAGAATGTCCCACATACTCTCAGCCAGCCCTCGCATCAGGTAAGTGTTAATGGGATCTATCAAACCTTCCCATCAGGGAGTGCCTGATATGGAGGGAAGACCCAGCATATTTCTTCTTTCCTCAGGGCACAACCAAAGATGGCTGACAGAAACAGTGCCTCCTCTTTTTGGGGTAAGTTGTAGCCACATTGAGAGAAGGATTATAGCTATGTGGTCTCTTGGAGTCTTCTAAAAGCTCCCAAATACCCCAAAGACTAATACTTCCTCCTGTTATTTGTTCTGGGTAATAAAAAACAACAAGTAAATAAACAAATTGCTCCCAAACTGACTAGTATTTATCTAAATTGTGTGCTCCATTGTGAATTTAGTAGCCCCATAACCCATAAATCTCAGAAGCCAAGACTGATGGATGCCGCCACTCCAAAGATTCCACCAGAGGAGAAAAGGAAAAGGAAGACACCTGAGTTGGATCAGCAACTGTCAGATAAGACTGCCCATCAAACTCAAGATAGTGAGAAACGTCCCCAGGTAAGGCTTTGGAACATCTCCTTCCTATGACCTGTCCTAACTAAACTAAAGTTTGCTCAGCTGGACAAAGAAGCCAGTCCCACAACACCTTCTGCATCCCAGAAGACTGGCTGGACACTGGTCCATAGTAGCCAATGGGGTAAATTTAAATCACCCTTGTTATGTTTTTGAGTTTTAGAGCACACCATCCTTCACATTTTTAGAAGCCCATAAAATTTCCTATACTCTCTAACTCTTGAGGAATATGGCACTTGGCTATCCCCCTGATCCATTACCCCAAAGACGGCCTTAAGGCCTGGGTACCAGAGTGTCCAGGATGCTATGCAGTGGGAGATAGTGCCGAGATGTATCCAACAACAAGCCTCGGTGAGGGAAGCGAGGAAAGTCCTCAATCTCCGTCTTGTTGATAAAGAACTGTGTGGACGAAACAGTAAACATGTCAGGATTCAAAGGGAACTCACTATGAGGGTGGGGTGGGTGTGGGGGATGAGGAAAAGTCTCCCAAGATCTCTGAAAAGCCACCCTGTGACTATGCTACAGGGTAAGTGTCTCCCCAAATGTCCCACACCTCTACCCCAATGACAATAAACAGGAACTTGCCCAGAGAGCAACTGTCTCAGGCTAGCCAAATACAGATGTCCCACAACTTCAGCCTATAGGGTCTATATTTTCACTATTAATACGCTGTTTTCTTCAGAGTGGTGTGAAAGTCTCAAGTCATTACTAAATAATGACTCAGGGGAACTAAATTACAGTGACTCCAAACGTCAAATCTACCAAACTAGTTTCCACGCTGTACACTCATTTCAAGCCTCCAGGACTTGGTCTTAAAGCAAAAATAAGATTTCCAGGGCTATAAATATTGGGAGCAAACTCAAGTTTTAAAAGGAGCCCTTATTTGAGGGCCCATACTTACCGTGCCTTCAGGAGATCTCCAAACAAGCTGGCTAAAAGTCTCCAGACCTACAGGAAGCAGAGACAAAATATAAGACCCCAAGAGGTGGGAAAAGATGGATCCATGTGGGAGGTGCCCCATATAGCAGGGATGACATTGGGACATAAAGTTAAAGTAGGTGTAATGGAGGCTTGATGATTCTCAACACTGTGAAAGGGGGATACCACGATGCCAGTATCAATTTTTACTCTTTTATTTTGGAAGGTGGCTGTATAAGGGGTTTTAGTGCCCCTTCTAGAAACACATTAAGCCTAAAAACCTACACACCTACTACCCATATTTCCAAAGGTGTAAACTCACAAGAATATTAAAAAGATGTGTGCTTGTAAAGACAGATGTAGGAACAGTTGACCTGCAAGAAGTTAAGGCTTTCTAAAGATAATACTCAGAAGAGCTAAGGGAGCCGAAACCAGTTTGGCTCAGTGAATAGAGCGTCAGCCTGGAGACTGAAGAGTCCTGGGTTCGATTCCGGTCAAGGGCATGTACCTTGGTTGTGGGCACATCCCCAGTAGGGGGTGTGCAAGAGGCAGCTAATTGATGATTCTCTCTCATCGATGTTTCTAACTCACTATTCCCCCTCTCTCTTCCTCTCTGTAAAAAAATCAATTAAATAATTAAATAAATAAATAAATAAATAAATAAAAATATACAAGAAGAAGAAGAAGAGGAGGAGAGGAGGCGGAGGAGGAGAAGGAGAAGAAGGAGGAGGAGGAGCTGCTAAGGGAGCTGAGAAAAAGAATACCCAGTTTGTTGCCCCTTCACATCTCCCAGACTGAATTGTGAAAACATGATCATAAGTTTGATTTCCAAAGTATCTGGGTCCACATATGGACCTACAAAAAATCATCCCCTTTTCCTCCTCAGGAATTAAGAAGAGACCCAGCTAACCGGGTGTGAGGTGTAGCAGACAGCAGCTACCCCAGTCCACAGGACACAGACTCCTAGATTCTGGCTAGGCCCAAGGGCAGGCAAGTTGAGTTCAGAGCATTGTTATATTCTCAACAGCTGTGGCCCCACAAAGGAATACTAGAGTCTCAAATTTTCAGAATGAGAGAATCATGGCACTCAGCACCTAATTTGAGGCAAACTGCTAGGAGACTGTTTGGCTTTTCTCCACTCTGATTCTGATGCCCAGCGCTCTGGAGTTACAGATTTCCCCTATCTGTAATCATTCGCACTTGCACAAAGGGTACAAGAGAGCAAAAAGGGAGTTGGTATGCTGTTTCTCCAAAACATAGGAGGGGGGAGAGGAGAGGCAAAGGAACAAAGACAAATTAAACCCAGGTTTGAGATTCTCTGAGAATGCCCCTCCTTCTTTACTAGCAGATGTTTTAACAAAAGTAGAGATATTTGGCTTAGTCAATATCTAGGGACCAAATTCCTTTTCAGTAAACCAAGAGGAAGGGCTTTTTTTTTTTTTTTTTTAAACATTTATTTAATTGATATAGTTTTCCTTTTTATAAAATCTGGCCAATTGAATATCTTTAATGAGAGCTGGACAGGCAGTGTTTGTGGCACCCTGACAGCAGCCTGCAGGGTCTCCTATTGTTTCCCCAGAGCACCTGATCAGGGGAATTGCTACCACTCACAGGTAAAACCTGCCAATTTCCAGGGAAAGCGTAAGAACACGCTTTTGGAGGGCTGGAGGGAAGGGGGAATATTCTACTTGCCCTCTACATAGAAAGCTTCTTAAAATGTGAGTATGTGGGTAGTCGCTGGGTCCCCAGTCCTGTCCTCTCACTCCACCAATGCCAACTGTCCCACATCACTGCTGGTCTCTCTCCCAGCGTCAGCTCCATCTTGTTACCTCGAAGAGCTCCCCAGACGGTCTCAGACAGAAGGAAACACTGCTCATTGTTTATGGTCAGGGTGTCTGGAATGACAGAAATGACCCAACGTGGTTAAAGATTTCTACTCTCAGATTACATACCACATGTTCTGTATTAAAAGACAGAACATGTATATATAAAAGACAACAGCAAGATCACTTTATTTTTCTTTCAAAGAGGAGACATCACCAGAACAGGGCAATTGCAAGGTGGCCAGGTCTGGGGCCAGAGTGGAAGGGTGGTTACCTAGGGTCTCTGCAGGCCCTAGGGGATGACACATGATGAGGGTCAGGCTACAGCAGAGTCCTCTACAAGCCACCACCTGCGTATGGGTCAGTTTCTCCCCCAAGAAACAAACTCTTGCCATCCTTTAGCTGGAAGTATGAAGTCTCCTGGCAAAGGAACAGTGATGCTCAGAGGGGTGAGTCCAGGTTCTGATGTTCACAGACTTTGTAACCACCCTCCTTTCTCCAGGCTTCAGCTACCTCATCCAAGAATGTGAGGAAGAAGCCAAGACTTGAGAAGCCAATTTCACTTTGAGACTGAGAAGTGCCCAAATGCTGCTGATCAGGAAAGACAGGAGGCAATTACAAGACTTGACCTCACCTCAATTCAAATGACCAAAACTCCTCTTTCCTGTGTAAAATCTCTTAGACAATATCAGCAAAGTATACACACATTCCTAAAATGACAAAATAATTATACTCAGTCCCAAAGGTAGGCATACTCTGGGACTCAGTGAACAGCTAGTGTGACAGTCCAGTCAGCCTGCAGACACTAGTTAGAGGGCATAGGAAAAACTCACCATTTATGGCTCTTGCATTTAGTGGCCCTTAGTCTCAATAGTCATGGATGGCTCCAGGCCTACCTTCAGCAACTTAAGCCACACCACCCACAGCTCCAGTTCCAGACAAGTGCTTGCTCTTCTAGAATGGTAACAGGGTACTTACAATTCTCCACTGATTCCAAAGAAGGAAGCTGGTCACATCCAGGAGTGACCACAAGGATAACCAGAGAATCTTTCTCCAAAGTATGCTGTTCTCCTGCAAGGAAAGTGTAAACTTAATGTGGCTGACTTGCTACCTGAGGCAGCGGGCAAAACCAAACCCCAAAGGAGGGTCCCTAGCTCTAGTCCCTTCAGTTTGCCTGTCTGTGGCAAGAGGGGAGGCAAGGCAGGGCATGCACCCTTGGCATATGAATTGCCTAGTCATCTGTGCAACTTTTTCATTTTGGTTGTGCTCCCCTTTCTCCCCAGTGACTCCACCTGACCATGTATGGATGATCTAGTGTCAGCCCTTTATAACCAGGACTGTACATTTCTGGCTTGATACAGTCCAAATACACATTTATAAGCCCCTAGCAACTGCTTTGAAACTAGAGGCAGCTCTAGAGCACTGCTACTCAAAGTGTGGTCTGTGGGTTAGCTGATCCTTTCTTCTGTTACTGGTTGGTCACTAGACAGGAAGCTTATATGATGCCAGAATGTAAATCAATTGTGCCAGAACAAAAAATGTTAGTTCTAACATTTTTTTCACAGCAAGGTTTTGATGAAGGAAACAGTTTCACATTCTGGTATGTATGCTTCCCATCTCATTGCAGACTGGCACTTGATGTAGCACTTCTCTTGAAGGCTCCAAATGAAGACTTTCCAACCTTGTAAAGTGGGAGCTAATGTGAGCAGATGAAGACAGGGGGATCTCCTATGCAAAGGAGGCCTGAGATGATCCAGCTGGTGTCCTAGCAAAGACATATGGTCATCAGCCCATTCTGCTTCCTTCCCTCCTCTACTCTAGCTAGGTTCTCTCCCATCAGTGGAAAGCCACCTAATCTGAGGCCAACAGGCTATTGTATAGAATCTTATAAACCCAGTATACAGTGAAAAAAAGACAAAACACCAACGCTGTCTCTTCTCATCCTCCTACTAGTTCTTCTCTATGACCTTCAGTTGTGATTGTACTGTCCCATACCTGAGCCTCAACCAGTTAACTGCCATGCGTCCAAAATGGAAACCATCCTTGCGTCTCTAGAGGCTTATGTTATACAAAGTGTCAATGCTCTCTCTCTCTCTCTCTCTCTCTCTCTCTCTCTCTCTCTCTCTCTCTCTCTCTCTCTCTCTCTCTCTCCTTTTTTCTCCCTGCTTTCTGGAGCCACATGTGTTGTCACTGATACCACAATATCTATGATTCCTATGGGACTACAAAGTCAGGAACAGAATGGTCTGGCAGAAGACAGGGAGAGAGAATCCAGAACCAAGTTGGAATAACAAATGTGATTTGTTTCTAGGCAGAAGGAACCCAAGAGCCTTGAACCATCTCAAGGAAAGCTTGCTCACCCCTCCAGAGCATGACTACCCCGCTGCATCGGAGCTCTCTGGTCTGCCAAGAAGGAACAATAAGGGGCTCTTTCCAACTATCCTGAACAAAAAGATTCTTTTCCCTCCCAATGAACAGCCTGTATTCTCACTCTAATACCTACCTAAACTCCGCAGGGAAAAGGAATTTGAGGTTACTCTGGGCCAGGCTAACTCACAATTCCATTTTATTTTATTATTTTATTTTTTTAATAAGTTTTTATTGTTCATATTATTACAATTGTTCCTTTTACACCCCCCCCCACCATTGCTCTCCTCCACCAGGTTCCCACCCCACCCTCTGCCCTTTTCCCACTCCCCATTGTCCTCATCCATAGGTGCACAGTTTATGTTCAGTCTCTTCCCACATCCCCCTCGCCCCTTTTCCCCAAGAATCGTCAGTTCACTCCCCTTCCATACCTCTGATTCTATTATATTCAACAGTTAATATTGTTCATCAGATTTTTTTTTAATTTCCTTGGTTTTTAGATTCACTTGTTGATAGTTACGTATTTGTTGTTCATAATTTTTTTAAAAATATATTTTACTGATTTTGTACAGAGAGAAAGGGAAAGAGATAGAGAGTTAGAAACATCGATGAGAGAGTGTCATCGATCAGCTGTCTCTTGCACACCCCCTACTGGAGATATGCCAGCAACCAAGGTACATGCCCTTGATCGGAATCGAACCCGGGACCCTTCAGTCCCCAAGCCGACACTCTATCCATTGAGCCAAACCGGTCTCAGCTGTTGTTCATAATTTTTATCTTTATTTACTTTCTCTTCTGAAAGAACTCCCTTCAGCAATTCATATAAGTCTGGTTTGGTGGTGATGAACTCCTTTAGCTTTTTTTTATTAGTAAAGCTCTTTATCTGACCTTCGATTCTGAGTGATAGCTTTGCTGGGTAGATTATCTTTGGCTGTAGGTTCTTACTATTCATCACCTTGAATATTTCTTGCCATTCCCTTCTGGCCTGCACGGTTTCTGTTGAGAAGTCAGCTGACAATCGTATAGGTGATCCTTTATAGGTAACTACCTTCTTTGCTCTTGCTGCTTTTAATACTCTCTCTTTGTCTTTTGCTCTTGGAATTTTAATTGTGATGTGTCTTGGTGTGGTCCTCTTTGGATTCCTTTTGTTTGGAGTTCTGTGCGCTTCCTGGACTTGTAAGTCTAATTCTTTCACCAGGTGGGGGAAGTTTTCTGTCACTATTTCTTCCAGTATGTTTTTGGTATCTTGCTCTCTCTCTTCTTCTGAGACCCCCATAATTCTGATGTTGGTTCGCTTGACGTTGTCCCAGAGGTTTCTTACATTATCTTCAATTTTCTGGATTCTCTTGCCTTCTATAATAGCTTCTGTGGAGGAGTGTCTTCTGGCTCTTTATGTTCCAAATCTTTGACTTGATTCTTGAGATCTTCCATTCTGTTTTTAGGACTCTGTATAATATTTTTTATTTCAGACAATGTATTCTTTATTTCTTGTTGATCCCTTATCATTTCTTGTTGATTCCTTATTGATTCTAGTTGATCCCTTTTCATATCCTCATAGGTCTTATCCATCTTTTCTAGGAAATTCTTGAAAAACCTTATAAGCGTAGATTTAAACTCTATATCCAGTCGCTTTTTGTCCTCCATTTCTTTCATTTGTGATCTATTTCGTTGTCGAATTTCGCAGCTACAGATGGAGCGGGGTTTCAGGGTGGAGCCTACAGCCTTGGCTTCCGTCAGCCCCACCCTATGCGGCTCCTGGGTCTCAGGGTCCTTCAGTACTTGCTGCCAGTGCCTCTGAGAGAAAGGTGCCCTCGATTTTCGCCTGCTGCCAAACAGTCTATGCTCTCCCCCAATGAGCCCGGTATTGTGGTTCAGTTCAGTTGGAAGTGGAGTTGGAGGTGGCGTTCAGAGCAGTCTGGAGCCCCTGTCTCCTTCCCACCAAGGCAATTCCGCAGCACAGCCAACCGTCCCTTCTCTGCGCGCCATGTGCACCGCCGGGACCCCCTTTCGCCGCTCCCCCGGGGTTCCGCCTCGCAGCCCAGCTCCCTCTGGATGAGCCTGAATCCCCGGGGTCTGGCCTAGAACTGGGGTTCAGAGCAGTCGGAACTGGGGCCCAACACACTCGGAGTTTTATCTCCTTCCCGCTAGGGAACGCCAGTCAGGCACTCAGCCGCCCTCCTCTCCAGCTCCGTCCTCTCCGTGCGCCGTGTGTCTCCGTACCTCAGGCTTTTCCAGCTCTTCCGCGCTTCCTTCTGGTTTTCTCCTTGCTTCTCGTTGTAGAATTTCCAGTCAGTTGACTTTCCTGTAGTTCTGGGTAATATCCATTTTATATTTTAGTTATATTTTATTGAAATTGTTGTGTGCGGCTGCGGCTAGGTATTTACCTGGGCGCAGCCATCTTGGATTCCCTCACAATTCCATTTTAAACCCTAAAAACTCAACCCCATAAACACAGAAGGACAATTAGGCTTTCAGGGTCGGTACCAATCTCAAAGGAGGACTCAACTGAGAGGTGATGGTGAAGAAACGATAAAAGAGTATCCCTTCTTAAACTATGCCTTCATACTGTACCTCTTTGATTCCACTCAGTCACATATCTCAGAGCCTCAATAGCACTATGTGGAGAGTGCATCTGCATATCTATCCAGGCAGCCTTCCCAAAGAGGGCAAAATCATTAGCTTTAGTATAATCCTCTGGATCTCACTCAAGCTATCAAAAAGGAGAAATCACAAATAATCTGTATGCAACTACCATGGTCACTGTCCTAGGGACAAGAGAGACTGTACAAACACCAAGTTTATATGAATTATTACTTGAAGATAAGAAACGACTAATTTTTATTGTTGTTGCTCTATCTTATTTTTATAAAATACATCTGCACTCTACTCTCTAAATTCATAGTCATTGAGGACTCACCAGAAGATGGCGGCCAGATAAACACTTGTACGGGCTGCCTCCCACAACCATATCAGTGCTACAACAGGGGATCTTACCTGAGACCTGAAAGGACCACAACTGTGGGGCCCCGACAGGCGCGAACACGCGGATTCCACAGAAAGGTTGGATTTTGCCGGGGATAACGCGGGGTGTCTATGTCCCAATAGCGAAACCAAAAGTGGCAGCTGCGGCAGCCGCACTGTGGCTACTAGTGCGGCAGAGACAAAAGCGCGGGCTGGGAACCTGGAAATCTGCGTCCACAGAAGCCCCCCACTGTTGGGTCAGGCGTGATTCGAAAGAATGGACAGGGGTCCCCAAGGTTGCTACTAGTGGGGTTTTCTAGGGGGCAACACATTCTGATCTGACACGGTGGGAAAACATAGGAGTTGGAAAGCAGTTGGTTTGTAAGTGCGTGCAGACTCGCCCATGGTGCATCTAGGCTGGTTCCCCTGCAACACTTTGCTTCTGAGTACAAAGGAGAGATCTCCCAGATTGGCTGACCCTAAGAGACAGCGGGGGGAAACTGCTTTTCTGGAAACTGAGAGGCAGAGCAGGGAGAAATCATCCAGAATTCAGCTCCGAGGCAAAAATAAATAAATACATAAATAAATAAACAAACAAACAAACAAAAAACAAACAAACAAAAAACAAACAAACCGGTATTGAGTGCCACAGAAAAAGAAGGCTAGAGCAGCCAAAAGGACGGGTCATCAATCCACATACACTGCCACCTAGGGTCTGGAGTACAAACTGACTGTGTTTATTA